TCTGAACTTGCACACTATCGTGCACTCATGAGCATATGCTCTCATACGATCATGACAAATATTTGTGCCTCCCAACGACACATTACTCCACATTCACTTTGTGGTAACCCTATTTCACTTTGTACCATGCCACATGTGATTTGCGCCTCCCACCTTTGTGTGTTTGCTTGCATAGCATAGTGCATGTTCATGACTTGCAAGCTTGAAGTCTTTGCACTTGGATTTTTGTCCTCACACACATATCTCACTCAAATTTACACTCCATGTGAATGGATGGCTTGCCACCAAGCCCATCTATTGTGTAATCCTCTCCAACGAGAATTACATTCATTCACTTCCTACAACACTACTTTGAACTGTCATAAGTATCCTTTTGAGTCACTGTTTCATCAGCACACTCACTCCCAAGTCACTGCCTCTTCGACACACTCATCACCGAGTCATTGCCTTCTCAGCACACTCACTCCCAAGTCACTACATTTTCGACACACTCATCATCGAGTCGCTATTTCCTCGGCATACTAACTCTGGAGTCACTGCTCCTCGGCACACTCACTCCCGAGTCACTGCCTCCCCGTCACACTCATCCTCACTCGTATTGTTTGTCTTTGCATGCATCACACTGTATTGTCGGCACATTCGTCATTAGTATATTCCTCCATATACTAGTGCGAATGTTTATCATCTTTCGATGGTTCCTACTCTGTTAGGAAGATCACATCACACTTGATCACTTCACATTTGCATGTGCCTTTTTGGTTGTCTCGACGATGAATCTGGCTAGTTAGCTAAGTGACCTGTTGCTGATCACGATGAGGTAGCGAGTATTGCCTACAGAGATGCCTCAGGGGTCAATACTAGCTACCACATCATGATTAGCACACTTATGTTGTGTGAAGGTTATAAGGGGTCTAACAAGTGCTACTTAAACTTTTCCTTTCTTAGGCCTTATTTTCAAAAGTATAAAAATCTATATTTTTACTACTTTTATACATATTTTCAAAACCTACATCAAAACTACTTGCATATTTAGCTTAGATCGTACATAAGGTCTATTTTTTAAAAAAGTTTTTTTTACAAAACTTGCATCTAGTGTCACCTCTTAGAATCCTTAGATCCTTAGGTGGGGCCGGGGCTGAGGACGGCAACCCTATCAAAACATACACAAGCCTTTTGACTTAACTCTGCGCTCACTTAGATGCTGAGATAGAGCACTATACATTAGATGGTGTGCTAGGCTAAGGACTAGGATGCTGAGTAATCCTTTTCAATGTCTTAACTATAGTTCTTTATTGGTTTGGTTACCCTAGCCAAGCATCACCTTTTGTGCTTTTGGTGCGCTGACATGTTTACCGATTTTTGGGATATGTGCAGTAGTATATTAGGTTGGTTTTCTTGCTGGAAAATATACCTAAACGCACACACGAGTAGTAGGGAGGAACAAGTAATGATTATGACTAACTCTTTTCTGCAGGTGCTGCTAAGCTCCTTCTGTCCGCATGGTTAATATGTGTTGCATGTAGATAACTTTTGATGCTAATGTTGTTTTCATGCAAGTCTTCTTTTTGTCTTTTATCATGTATTTGATAGTCCTTAGAATCGAGTATGCGTCGGAAATAAGGTACGGGTGTAGGTTTTGAGGCGTATGATGCATTGAGTCGCGTGACGAGGGACCATGAGCAGTAGGCTTGTGTCCTGTACATTAAGTTTAAATTCATATTCTTGTATAGAATTAGGACCAGATGTGTACTTATGCGGTGTTTGACCGCCTTTCTTGCTTTCATGGGATATATCGTCGACATAGCGACACCGGCCTTTTCTATATTTTGATTTGGCATTTCTTTTACTTTTTCCTATTACATGCCTATGTGCTTGAAATTGATTTCGCCTTTTTATTTTGTGCTTTTGTCTGGGAATCATGTAATCGATTAGGCTCTTTAGGACCCAAAATGTAAATTTCTTACAAAATCCTCATAAAAGTTTCAAGATTAATCAAAATTTAGGATTAAAATATTCAAGATTTTTCAAAATCTGTCTTTATTTCTCTACATGGCATTTAGGCATTTTAAATGGGTTGTACACATGACCTTTACCCATGTCATAAATAATAGGACCTCCATGCTTAGGACTTATTAGGCAAGTGCATCATATTGTATGCCCCGAGGAGAAGTCATTGTGCTTCTCCAACCTGACTAGCCCATCACAGATTTCTATTTAGGTGGTTGTCTAGTGCATTTAGGGTGTTAGAAGCTTCTCCAACCCAGACGGGAAGTAAGTCCTTTTGTTGAGAGTGTTTCAGGTTTATAGCTGGACCTCTCATCTCTTTTTCACTCTAGAGGCATCCCTGCCACTTTGAAAGGTATAGGTCCCACCTCTACTCTTCCTTCCTACATAGGGTTATAAGATTTAGAATTTCCTCTCTTGGCCTTAGGGCTACCGAGATGCCCTTGGACGATGCAATTCATGGATTGCTGACAAGGGATCTTCGGTTATGTTGGGTCGGCTAACTTCACGACCAGGTAGACTTGGGGGCTTAATAGCTTGGGACAACATATATGTGATATCCTAACTCGGCTATCTCTCACCGATTATGATTCCTCTTCCTTTCCTTTGCTACCCCGCTTTGAGCCTTATCGCTCCTTTTGACACTTCATCGGTGTCATCTCGTAGGCCCAATATGGACTGCCTCCCATTTAGGATAAGATGATTCACCCTATGTCCTTATTGGCTGTTTTGGCTTTAGAAGCATAGTGTGGACCCTTTGAGTTAGCCAAGTTACTTTACGGGCCTCGTGTAACGATGAGTCGCTACTCATTTGGGATGTGAGAGACTCACTCTCTGCCTTGTGGCTTAGTAAGAGCTTTGAAAGGCACGGGATATTCTTATGAGGTAAACCTCCTTTGTAACACTCTGTACTAGTCGTCACCTAAATATAAGCAAGACTCCTCTAATCAAGAGTATACTTGGGCGCTCCCCAAAATGTAATTAATCAAGAAGATACGTTCTCTTAAAAGTTGATCTTGACCCCAGAACAAGCATACACCCTTGAATCTCTAGCTGTGGGTTGTTTTCGTAGGTTATTCTTCACGAATGTGTTCCAAAGCAGTTTTCGATCCGAACCCATTTTGGGCGTTCTCTTTTAGGCTATCATGCTAGATTTACCCTACAAAAGTTCTCCACATTCTCTCTCATTTATCTTCATTGTCGTATGTCCTTACTTTTCGATTCCTCTCTTCTTTAGATCGCCCATTATGATCTGGAAGTGAGATACATGGAGAAAACTGATGCTTACGACTGGGGGGTGGAGAGCATGTCTAATAATGGGAAGGGAGGAGCTATTACCAACTACGACTTTGTCGATGCCACTGTATAATGTTGGTTGCTACAAATTTGCAACCCAGGAGGTTAGATGAGCGGTGTTTCCTATATCGAGCAACCATTCTAGTGGTGACTAATGTGTCGTAGCTTGAAGAGGCAACTAATTGGTTTGCTGTGTTGGAAAGGGTATTATAGGGTTGCAACAATAACAGAAGATGACAATTGTATGACTTAACTTTACGTAGATTTGACACATGATATGAGTGTTATTAGATTTTGTTGTTTCAAGTAGAGACAGATAAACCTTTGTGCTAGTTGTTTTGTACATGATCATGATTGGGGAATGATGCTTGACTACAGGTAGCTGATAAGTCACCATGCTTTAAGGGAGTGGTATGTTGTTTTTTTTATTCAGATTGTTGATTTCGTCACTATATATTAATAAATGGAGGTCATCAATGCTTATAGAGTTGAGGTGAGCTGGGTGCAAATTGTTTTCTTAAAGCCTTGGTATCAAGAGGGAAGGCCATTAAGTGTGCGAAATATGATGTCATTATCTACTTTGGATCCCACATTAACAATGTAGTCAACCAATCATTTGATAGAGGAGAGAGAATTGTTCATGATTTGATTCTTCATGATAATGTTATGGAGCTCATTCTTGAGATGGATGACTAGATCGAGCAATATTTTGTAGTGATTTTTCTTGGGTGCTACAAATCTGCAGGATTGAAGATTGAAAATGTAAAGGAGTATGATAGGGTTTATGTTGGATTATAAAGCTGTGGCTAGATTTTGATCCAGCAGAAGCTGGTTGGTGCATTGGGTGTGGAGAAATGTAACAACCGTTGTTGTGATTTGCATTGAGGGATATAGAACTAGAATTGGAAGAAATCCTTCAAAGCTATTTGGAATGAATATTTTTTGGATTTGTAGTTGCTAGATGTAGTTATCATTTGTTAGCTGCACATTCATCATATTTTTGATATTTTATATCAAAAACTTTAGAGAAGGGAACATCATAATTTCACCTATTTTGAGGAGGTTGGAGAGATTGTTGGCTAGAAGATTAACCTGCGAGGTTGTTAATTCATCCATGGGATCACGGTGAAGAAGATAGAAGGTGTTGTTTGTTATGCAGAAGTCTTTGATACCATATGGATAGCTAAACCGTGAAATGGAGCAAGAGCTGAAACAAAAGAAGAAGATAGAAGAACTAAAAAACAGTCAAACTAGTAATAAAAAGCAAATTTCGACTAGTCTCCTAGAAGTTGACACATTTATTGTTGCCCAAATACTCAGATATCATCTAAATATATTAATGTACGAATGGCAGATTAAACATTTAGGAACACTTGGGCATGGAGTATTATGGTCCCTCCACGTTAATAATCATTGAATGTAGCAATAATAACTCAAGACGATCTGAGAAGAAATCCCAAATAAGCTCCCAAACTATCACATGCCAGAAGAAATTTTAATAGTTCCTAAGAACGTCTAACATTTCACATTTGGTTGAGAAAATCTGAACACATCCGCGCTGAAGAAAAATGTCATTTTTAAAATGAAAGTCCCCCCACTAGATAAATAATAGTAATAATAAGAGGCCTTCCTACATGTTAAGATAACACATTTCAGGGGGAAGAGCAATTATTTTAGTAACACATAAACAGACAAATATATGTCACAGCAAACATTAAATAATATAAACGAGTCAGAATCAAACATAGAGTGCAGCATATATCAAGGACCTTATCTCTCCTTTTGACAAGACTAATTAATACAAACGATGGTAAGCAGAAACAATGTTAATTACTGAACCTATCTCTGTCATGAGAAGCAGAGTAATCTATGTTGGAACCAATTGGAATGATACCATGAGGATTAATATTAGGATGGCTTCCATAATAGTGCTTCTTTATGTGTTCCATGTTAACGGTGCCGCTGATGCCGGGAATTTGGTATATGTCTTTTGTGTAATTGAATAGATTTGGATATTCACGTAGGAGTTTCTTGTTGCATTTGAAATGTACAGAATAAACCTATCAGATCAAAGCGTCAATCAGATTGCTATCATCTATTTATCAGACAGGCGCAAGAAATTTCAGAAACATAGATTGAGAATGTTTCATTTAAAAGCACATAAAAAAAAAAATTTAATATGTGAATGCTTTCTGTAAAGTTACCTGAATAGAATTTTGAGGCGCACATAACATTCTTAAAAAAATGGGAAATCTACTAATGGTGGTAACATTTGGTCTCATCGCTTACTGTTCTAGTTAAAATTTTGCACTATAAAGTAGAAAACGACAATAAAATAAAAGTTGAACGAACGTTCACTGCAGAATTCTTACAGTTACATAAAAGAAGTTAATTTTGTTCAGCCTGGTTGGCTTCTCTTATTTACAAAGCTAAAAAACATCCAAAGACTATAATGCAAAAGACTTCCATTTAAACAAACTGAACTACATAAATACCCTAACAATAATGGATTCAACTGCAATCAACCATTAGCTGGACAGCTCTATCGTCGTGGGATTATGCTGGAATAATAAAGTTTCCCTAAAAGCAGTCAAAAAAACTGAAAAAAGTTGCCGACAAATTACTAAGCTAGAGTTAGCATATCAACAATGCATACACACAAAGAATAAAAAGCAACATAAATTTAAGAAATCGCCAAAATGCTACATTGACAAGTTATAGTTTAGTCCATAATTTATTAAAGAAGGCCCAGACGACTGTGATAATGATATCATGTGCGTGCGCAATATGAGCAAAACAAAATAATGCTATAATGACAAAAAGAGATTATCATAATCATATTTAGCCCTATCTATGAGTGTTGCTTCTGGTGTTGAATCTATTTGACAAGTAAATAGAAGATGCTGCAGTGAAATAAGCTTTTAGTTACAGCTTACCTGTCACTCTGAATATAAATCGCACCGTAATATTATAACAAATGGATTGATTTCATTTAACTTTATAATCGTCTCTGCTTCTGTACAGGTTTGGGCCCACTTCTACATTCTTCTCTCTTGTATAAAATACCAAGTAGTTTTCATATGAAAGGTGAGGAAGAATTATACAGCAGCATTCTGTTTTCCATACTGTTATTCCTTTTGCACATCTGTATTTTCCTGTAGTGGTCTGTCGTCATGTTTAAAAATGAATTGCACCATGTTAAAATGAAAGATAAATCCAAGGTTCAGTGTCTTTCTGAAATAAAAAAACAAGGTAGATGCTATCGCAGCTACAGCACAGGTACAGGAACTCCGCCACCCAGAAGATAATTTTACTCTGTACTCTTAATGGCTTACCATCTGAACAAATCAGCAACTTATAGCTTGGATGCTTTTTACTCTCTACTTTGTAGTGAAGAAATTAATCTTGATGTCGAAACAGAAGAACTTGCACACCAATTTTGTTGACTCTCAACTAGAACTAACTGCTGTTAAAGAGCGAGGCAAACCCTTCACTAAACCAGGGAACTCCAACAGAAACCGGAACACAACATTTTGGGGTTCTTACAAAAACACTAGGTCCAACACCAATTCCTTCAGGGCATCCGCACATCTATTGTTGTGGTTTCTTGCTAGATTTATGCTAAAGTGCAACGCTCAGCTGTTCAAAGTTGGCATCGTACTAATCTTGCTTATCAACCCTCGCATTAAGCATGCATGGCGGCTCAATCCTCATCAGGAAAGGATTAGATTTTGGATTCAGGAGCAATGTCACATCTCACCTCCAATTCTTATTACCTCGCTCACATCCAGCCTTACATAGGTTCCCAACAAATTACTTCTGGAAATGGTCAGGTTCTACTCATTGCCGATACCGGTAAAAGAATATTACCTATTCTAAGTCGTAAACTTCATCTATCTCCCTTATTACATGTTTCAAATATCTCCACAGTTTGCTTTCAGTTCATCAGCTTACTAAATCAAATTCATATTAGATTACATTTGATAAATTTGGGTTTTATTCTTAAGGACACAATGACCAACAAAGTTCTCCTCCTAGGTCCCTGCCATCAAGGACTTCATCCAACGCAGTTGCCTTTCTCAGCTCATCTTCTGATTCTGCTCTTTGGCACAGACAGCTAGAGCATCCATCCACATCTACTCAACCTGAACTTCTTCATCAGCTCAATTCATACAAAACCAGATCTAGTTCCCTTCATTCCTAGGCATGTGCTCGTGTTAATAGTTATAAACTACTTTTCTTTCTTCTTCTCCTCCTCAAACATCTACTTTTGAATTGCTTCAAAGTGATATATGTGGACCTTCCCCAATTTTGTCCAATCAAGATTATAAATAATATCATTTATTAGTTAACGATTTTTCTTGCTTTTGTAAGATGTTTCCTCATAACTGGAATCTGAAGTCAAAACTAAACTACAACACTATTCAAAACTTTTGTTGCAACACAATTTCATACTCAAACTAAAACAAATCAAATACATTACAAAAGTTTTTTGTTCTCCATTGCACTACATCACCAGATTAGTTGTCTATCAATCAAGAATAACTTAAATCGGGAAAATTTAAGAGTTTCCTTCTTTAAATTGCTGCATTAAATTTCTTATTTTAATTGTACACATTCTTTCCTTTTAGTTGAATATCAAGGTTAGGAAAATGTATCATTATGTACCTAAAATAGACTGTACATGCTATTATTTATTGGAATGAAAGAAAAGGAAAAAGGCATTCAACTTATTTACTCAAAACATTGATATGGTATCAAATCCACATTGAATCGTTCCAGTATGAATCTCTTGTCGTCTTCAAAGCTAGCCTTTGGGAATCGTTCATCTTCATCTTCGACTTGAGCTCATTCCATCTTCTCTGACATCTTCGACTGCTTCCTACGGCATCATCATTTGCATCTTTGAATGCTCCCTACGTCTTCGACGTCCTCGAACGCAAATCGCCGAGAGTCTCGTCTGCGATCCTGTAGAAGCCTTCCCAGTGCCCTTCTGCTGAGATATGCAATTTTGTCTGTCGCAATTCGCCAAGGAGAGGAAGATCGATCCTTGTGTATGCACTGATTGTGTATGTCGTGATTCACGGAAGCATATGATCTCGCCCATCTTGTTCGCGATTGAAACCTCATCCGCGATTGTGTCTGTCGTGATTTGCGAAAGAATAAGATTCTGTCCATCTCATCAGCGATCCAAGCCTCATCCGCGATCCAATCTTGCCAGTCAGAGTCATCGCTCCTTGGTGCACCGCTCGAGCCGCGCGTCCCTATTCACGTACCAGAAAGCCGAATAATTTGGCTTTCTTTGGTCTTTTTTGGATCTCTGGGTTTTCTTTGGTTTTAAGTTGATCATTTCGATCAACAATTTTTTGGATAATAAAAATGTGAGTGACAATTATGTTAGAATGTCGTATGAGAAAACACATGAAATCTTAGCTATCAGATTTACGAGAAAGATTTACACATCATGAGAATTTCAGTTCAAGGTGTTTTTGAAAGGGAATGAGCTTTGGGGGCATATTGATGGATCATCTCCAGCACCTACAAAGCCGAAAGATCTTGGTCAATGGGAGGTAAGGAATGCTAGAATGCTCGGATTGTTTCCTGGATTTTGAGATCTATTGAGGCTCATATGGTGAACAACTAACAATACTTTGGCACAACTAAAGAAATATGGAAGTACTTGAAGCGCGTCTACAATCAAAATAATACTGCAATATGCTTTCAATTAAAACTTGATATGAGTAATTATAATCAAGGTAATCTCTCAATTGAACAATATTATTATGAGTTTCTTAATGTGTAGCGAATATTCTGATATTATCTATGCTAAGATGTCAAAAAAGAATTAAGCTAGTTTTCAGGCTATTCATAAAGATAGCCGTCTTGATCAGTTTTTGATGAAGCTCAAATCTGAAGTTGAAACTGTTCGGGCTGAGTTGTTGAACATAGATATGGTTCCTTGTTTGGATGTATGTTTTGGTGAATTACTGCGCGAAGAATAAAGATTGACAGCAGACTGCTACCAGTGCAGCTGGTGGATCATCAAAAATAGTTAATGTTGCATATGTTGCTCAGACCTGAGGAAATGAAAAAAAGCATTGTTACAGCTGGAAGGAATTTGGTCATATAACTCTCCAGTATAGTAAAAAGTTTTGTAATTATTGCAAGAAAAACGGGCATATTATTAAGGAGTGTCTTACACGTCCTCAAAACCGCAAATCACAAGCCCTTCATGCCATGATATCCAACTCTCACAATCCTGGTTCGACATCCATAACTATCGGTAATAATCAATTTGTTCTCACACTAGATATGGTACAACAGATGATTCTCTATGCCTTTGCTGCTCTTAGTCTTCAAGAGAGATGTAAGATTATTATTTTTGTTGATTCTCCTGGTTTGTTGATTATGGCACCACAAATCATATGATTGAACATCTGATTTATTGCATAATTGACGCCTGTATACTGATACTAAACATATTTAGGTTGCTAATGAAAATAATATTCAAATTACGATAGTTGGTGATATTAACCCTTCCTTCTGACATGCCTTGGTTTCTAAATTATCTACAAACTTACTTTCTGTTGGTCAAATGGTGAATAATAACTGTAACGCACACTTTTCTCATGATAGTTGTGTTGTGCAGGATTAGATGTCGCGAAAGGTGATAGTGAAGGGGCCTAAAGTGAACAGGTTGTTTCCATTACAATTTACCATTCTTCGGACATTGTCATTAGCTTTTTCAATTGTTGAAAATAAGGCTGACATCTGACATAGACGATTAGGTCATCCAAATCATGTTGTTTTGAATCATTTTTTGCAAAGTGGTGTTTTCGGTTCTACAGATAAAAGTCTATTAGCCGACTGTTATTCTTGTAAATTTGGCAAAAGTAAGACAATATATTTTCCTATTCTGGGCAGTCGTGTCAATAAATGCTTTGACATTATTCAGTAATGTTTGGAGAATTACACCGCTTATTTCACATGCTTAGTATAAATATTTTGTGACAATTATTGACGATTACAGCCGATTCACATTGATCTATTTTTTTGCATT